CTTCAATTATCAATAAGAGACTTGTTTTCTGGGCGGATTCTTTGGATAAAATAAGTGAGTCACAAGCAGGTTTAAGAAAAGGATACTCGACCACTGACAATGCTTTTATCCTATATTCTATAATTCAGAGATATCTATCAGTGAAACGAGGGAAGCTATATGCTGTATTCGTAGATTTTGCAAAAGCTTTTGACTCTGTGAAAAGGGAAAACTTGTGGTCACTCTTTCAAAGACATGGGCTAACTAGTAAATTGGAAAGTTACTATGCTCTCTATATAAAAATGTGAAGGTGTGTGTCCGGAACAATGGCGCTATATCGGATACTTTTGTAAGTAGCATGAGTGTCCGACAATGGTGTATATTAAGTCCCTTCTTATTTTCCTTTTTCATAAATGATTTAGCATATCAAATCCAAAAGAATTTCACTGATGGAATACAACTGCACCCCGAAACTATTCAATTATTTCTGCTTCTTTTCACTGACGATATAGTCATGTTCTTGAGCACAATACCTGGCCTGCAAATGCAAATACATGTATTAGAGAGTTATTGTGACGGGTCAAAACTTACTGTAAATATGGATAAAACCAAAGTTGTAGTTTTTTAAAAATGGTGGTAACATATCCAGAAAAGAAAAATGGCTTTAGGCTTGTGTTTTACAAGTAGATTAACTTGGTCAAGGAATGCACATAACATTTCATTGCAAGCCAAGAAATTTTATTGTAGGCATATTAAAAAGTCTTAGAGTTCTGGACAATGTTACATATGATGTTTATTTTAAAATATTTGATACAAAAATAAGCCCGATTCTATTGTATGGATCAGAAATTTGGGGCCTAGAACATTTGGATGTTATTGAGAAAATACATTTATATGCATGTAAAAGGTTCTTGGGGGTAAAATCTAGCACAGAAAACGCAAGGGTATATGGTGAATGCGGACGGTTTCCCATGTATATCAATAGTTATTTAAAGATTATTAAATACTGGGTCAAGCTATTAATATGCCATCTTCAAGATACCCGAGAAAATGTTATAATATGATGCTTCTCTACGACAGACCATGGGAAACAAAATTGGGTATCAAAAGTTAAAAACATGTTATACGAATGTGGATATGGTTGTATTTGGTTACAACAACATGTAGATATGCCACAACATTTCTTCGCCCGTTTGACAAAGGCCTTAAAAGATATGTTCATTCAAAAATGGCATGGTTCTTTGTCCAGTTCTAGAAAAGCAAATTCTTACACTACATTTAAGACTACTATAATACGAGAACCTTATCTATTAAGTGTACATTTACATAAGTTTAGAACAGCTTTTTCTCCATTTCGTTGTGGCTCACATGATCTATTTATTGAAACAGACAGATATGAAGGTATTGCAAGAGAACATAGACTTTGTAGGATTTGTAAAACTGATTGTATTGAAGATGAATATCACTTTTTATGTGTATGTCCAGTGTATAAAGATTTAAGAGCAAAATATCTAAATAACTATTTCTACCGCAACCCAAACGGTAACAAATTTTGTAAATTAATGACTTTTGATTATACAGAAACTATTAGAAATTTATCAATGTTCATTTATCATGCCATGAAACTAAGAAAATGTATGAATTTGTAACACGCCCCAATGTACTATAGGCCTTTGGCCTCATAAGTACCATGAATAAAGTTTGATTCATTCCCTGTGGGACGAGATTCAAAGACGGCTGAATGACGTCCGACCAAGGCCGACAACTGCAGCTGAACTGCGTCAGGCGTTCCTCAGAGTGTGGGCTCAAGTGCCTATGGCCTTCATCAACCGCCTCATCCATTCCATGTATCGACGTTGCACGGCAGTTATCAATGCACATGGCGATACTGACTTGTGATGCCATTTTCTCAGAGACTAGTGTTGTGTTTCACTTTAAGAACATTTGACACTTTAATTTCAACTTTGATGATCAGTTTTGCCAAGTTTCATCTTTTTAATATATCTCAAAGTATGTTTACAGTGTTTGGACAAATAAGGTTTCTCATATATCTATCCATGGTGACGTTTCTTTTGCGGTTCAGTATATTATAAGATAATTTGAAAAATGGTGAAAGGCGAAATCGCTGAATTATTGGTTGACCCTATCATGATCGAATTAATTCTATCATGATAAAGTTCATCAACTCTATGGTGCGGATAACGCCGAGAAGGGATTGAAACAAAGTATGGCAGTGTATATGCTCAAACATTGTTTAGTCTAGTCTAGTATGTGACAGTAAGGAGTTCCTAAAGCAGGATAGCAGAGACAAGGGGGGCGTGAAACATTTTCTTGTCAAGAGAGTTCATATTGACGCTTATCTACCGCTGAGTGTGACGTCATGCTTAACACTTAACGCCATTCTTATGCTCGTTGTGTTTTGTGTGATCAATGACGTGGTAACTTAGACAAATGTTTGTAAATATGTCCTTTACCTTACAATGTCCCTGTTGTGTTGATAGGGGACCTTAACATGTCCTGATTTAACTAATGGAGGACCTCGACAAGCCCAGGTTGTGTTGATGGAGGACCTCGACATGCCCAGGTTGTGTTGATGGAGGACCTCGACAAGCCCAGGTTGTGTTGATGGAGGACCTCGACAAGCCCAGGTTGTGATGATAGGGGACATTAACATGTCCTGTTTTAACTGATGGAGGACCTCGACAAGCCCAGGTTGTGTTGATGGAGGACCTCGACAAGCCTAGGTTATGTTGATGGAGGACCTTGACAAGCCCAGGTTGGGTTGACGGAGGACCCCCTTAACATTCCCAGGTTGTGTTGATAGGGGACAATAACATGTACTGTTTTAACTAATGGAGGCCCTTGACAAGCCCAGGTTGTGTTGACGGAGGACCTTGACAAGCCCAGGTTGTGTTGACGGAGGACCTTGACAAGCCCAGGTTGTGATGACGGAGGATCTTGACAAAACCAGGTTGTGATGACGGAGGACCTCGACAAGCCCAGGTTGTGATGACGGAGGACCTTGACAAGCCCAGGTTGTGATGACGGAGGATCCCCCTTAACATTCCCAGGTTGTGTTGACGGAGGACCTCAATCTGGCCGAGTTGATTTCAGTACTATTTTGTAAATATTATAGTAAAGTCTTTCTTTGCCTTGTCGCTGTTTTAGCTGTCTGTCTCAAGCTGTTTTACTTGAGCAGAATAACAAGTCAAACCAGTTAGATATCTAACATATACACAAAGAAAAAAGTTAAGCACACCCTAATATATTTTATTATTGTTTCGTCCCAATATTTGTAACAGTCAGGAAAGATAAAATTACGGGAAGAATTATGTTTCTCGAGATGATGTAATCAGTGATGCGTGACGAAGGCTCACGTATCATGCATGGTGTGCCCGTGCAGCATGCTACTCTCGAGTATCTCTACAAGCAGTATGTCCAAACGTTAAAATTGCTTTCTTAAGCTCGGTTTTAAACAGTTATTCCATGACATTGTGATTGTGTGACCATGACACCAAGGAGATTATTAAACGACGCAAGATGGCAAATAATCGGCATGCAGTTGGCACTAGGGGTTGAGATCGCATATGCAGCAGTTGGCACTAGGGGTTGAAATCGCGCACCCAGCAGTTGGCACTAGGGGTTGAGACCGCGTACCCAGCAGTTGGCACTAGGGGTTGAGATCGCATATCCAGCAGTTGGCACTAGGGGTTGAGATGGTGTACCCAGCAGTTGGCAGTAGAAGTTGAGATCGCGCACCCAGCAGTTGGCACTAGAAGTTGAGACCGCATATCCAGCAGTTGGCACTAGGGGTTGAGATCGCGCACTCAGCAGTTGTCACTAGGGGTTGAGATCGCATACCCAGCAGTTGGCACTAGGGGTTGAGATCGCATACCTAGCAGTTTGCACTAGGGGTTGAGATCACGTACCCAGCAGTTGGCACTAGGGGTTGATATTGCATACCCAGCAGTTGGCACTAGAGGTTGAGATCGCGTACCCAGCAGTTGGCACTAGAGGCTAACATCACGCACCTAACAGTTAGTACTAGGGGTTGAGATCACGTATCCAGCAGTTAGCAGTAGAGGTTGAGATCACGCACATAACAGTTAGTAATACCCCCATTACACCGGACGGCGACCTTTCTGCGACCGTTCTGCGTTCTAAAGTTTTGCCAGGTCGGCGTTGAAGGCAGAGGGGTCGCAGAACGGTCGCGTAGAGCGCACACGGGAGGCAGAGGGAACGCTCAGCCATCGCCATGAGCGCCACTGTCGCTGAAAAGTTTTGAACCTGCTTAAAACAGTCGCAGTGAGATCGCCGTCGATGTAAGTCGCTCAAGGGAGGCAGAACGGAGGCAGAGGGAACGCAGAGGTAACGCAGAGGAGACGCAGAGGGAGCGCAGAGATATCGCACAGTGAACGCCAAGGTCGTTCAGGGAACGCAGTGACATTGACAAAAGTAACATATTTAGTCGCAGAAGGAAGGCAGAACGGTCGTAGGAGCGATGACACCAAAAGAGAGTTTTCATGAGTATGGCGACCCCACTGCGCTCTAGTCAAATTTTAGGACACAGAAGGAGCGCAGAGCGATCGCCGTTTGGTGTAATGGCCCCTTAATAGGGGATGAAATCGCGAACCAAGTAGTTAGTACTGGGGTTTGAGATCGCGAACCAAGTAGTTAGTACTGGGGTTTGAGATCGCGAACCAAGTAGTTAGTACTGGGGTTTGAGATCGCGAACCAAGTAGTTAGTACTGGGGTTTGAGATCGCGAACCAAGTAGTAAGTACTGGGGTATGAGATCGCGAACCAAGTAGTTAGTACTGGGGTTTGAGATCGCGAACCAAGTAGTAAGTACTGGGGGTTGAGATCGCGAACCAAGTAGTTAGTACTGGGGGTTGAGATCACGCACCTGACAGTTGGCACTAGAGGTTGAGATCGCGTACCCAGCAGTTAGTACTTAAGGTTGAGATCGCTCGATGCATGGGTGCTTTGGTGTGCAATGTTTAGAAACACACTCAGAATACACTAATTGCCATGCATTTATTTAAACAGAAAGTAAAATACAACATAAATACATAAATACAGATATCACAGTCATCTACACATTTGGCACATTTCAGAAGTAGCTAACACTCTCATATGATACATAATAATAAATTGAATCATGTATCTGTATACATACAGTGCTATATTTTAAAAGTTCGATACTATTTCAAAAGGGTTGCGAAGTGCATGCATTTCTTTAAACCAAATTGTGTGTGAAGGTTTAACATTCAATGACTAAATGGAGCATTCACTTCATTAAGCCAACGTGAAAGCACAGTAATTAACAGAACATAATAGAAAACATTCATCAAACCAAACGAATATCTTCGCACTCCCTTCATCGTCTTGCTTCGACCGCAACCTATTGAAACACCCCTCATCTCTACCTGCCTATCGCCACCATACCTCCAAGGACGTGTGTCTCTACCTGCCTATCGCCACCATACCTCCAAGGACGTGTGTCTCTACCTGCCTATCGCCACCATACCTCCAAGGACGTGTGTCTCTACCTGCCTATCGCCACCATACCTCCAAGGACGTGTGTCTCTACCTGCCTATCGCCACCATACCTCCAAGGACGTGTGTCTCTACCTGCCTATCGCCACCATACCTCCAAGGACGTGTGTCTCTACCTGCCTATCGCCACCATGCCTGTCTGGATGATATACTGTCTAGACAGTCTGGATGATATACGTCGAAGACAGAGCCTGGATGATATACTTCCTAGGCCAGAGCCTGGATGATATGCGTCGAAGACAGAGCCTTGATGATATACACCCTAGGCCAGAGCCTGGATGATATGCGTCGAAGACAGAGCCTAGATGATATACTTCCTAGACAGCCTGGATGATATACTTCCTAGGCCAGAGCCTGGATGATATGCGTCCTGGACAGAGCCTGGATGATATACGTCCTAGACAGTCTGGATGATATACTTCCTAGACAGTCTTAATGATATACGTCGAAGACAGAGCCTGGATGATATACTTCCTAGACAGTCTGGATGATATACTTCCTAGACAGTCTTCATGATATACGTCGAAAACAGAGCCTGGATGATATTTGCTAGACAGTCTGGATGATATACTTCCTAGACAGAGCCTGGATGATATACTTCCTAGGCCAGAGCCTGGATGATATGCGTCCTGGGCAGAGCCTGGATGATATACGTCCTAGACAGTCTGGATGATATACTTCCTAGACAGTCTTCATGATATACGTCGAAGACAGAGCCTGGATGATATACTTCCTAGACAATCTGGATGATATACTTCCTAGACAGTCTTCATGATATACGTCGAAAACAGAGCCTGGATGATATTTGCTAGACAGTCTGGATGATATACTTCCTAGACAGAGCCTGGATGATATACTTCCTAGGCCAGAGCCTGGATGATATGCGTCCTGGGCAGAGCCTGGTGATATACGTCCTAGACAGTCTGGATGATATACTTCCTAGACAGTCTTCATGATATACGTCGAAGACAGAGCCTGGATGATGTACTTCCTAGACAGTCTGGATGATATACTTCCTAGACAGTTTTCATGACATACGTCGAAGACAGGGCCTGAATGATATTTGCTAGACAGACCCTGGATGATGTACTTCCTAGACAGAGCCTGGATGATATACTTTCAGTCTGGATGATATACTTTCTAGACAGTCTGGATGATATACGTCGAAGACAGAGCCTGGATGATATACTTCCTAGACAGTGTTCATGATATACGTCGAAGACAGGGCCTGAATGATATTTGCTAGACAGGGCCTGGTTGATATACTTCCTAGACAGGGCCTGGATGATATTCAATGGCTTCAGTGCACATAACACAAGAGAATATATTCAACACGTCCCATGGAACTTATTTCTGAAAACATCCCGATTTATAAATATGGAAACTCTATTCCATCACCTTTACACGAGGATAGGCACGTTGAAGGGGTTTCCGTGGGTATATAGCATCAGGGAAGACATGCCATACAGATGCATGATACAAGTAACTAATTACCAGTTTTGAAACTACCTTGATAATTGTGGAGAATACAAAGGATCGTACGGAATGCAAGGATGATTACTCCATCCTAAAATGGGATTATTAATTGTTATAGACAACTGCACTTACTGCATTTACATAGAGTAACATGGGGATGACTATATAGTTCTACAGACTGTTGACAACACATGGACATCCGTGTGTAACGGTGACAGTAACGTGTGGCTAGCGGTAGTAGACAGGCGTGATCTGTGTTTTCCCAACACCGGGATCATTCACTGAAACAAATGAAATAAAGTCTTAACAGATCACCACTGGAAAACACAGCACATAACAACAGAGAGGGTTTATTCATTATAAGTAAATATAGAAGTGCACTTGACACTTCCTGAGAGACAGGCATCTTTATCCTATAGATGCGTGGTAATCAAATAGAAGCCTGGTAATCATAAAGAAGCACGGTAACAATATAGAAGTGTTAATCGTACAGAAGCATTAATCACACAGAAGCATTAATCTTATAGAAACAGGGGAATCAAATAGAAGCATGATAATGAATAGAAGCATGGTTATCAAATAGAAGTATGATAATCATATAGAAGCATGGTTATCATATAGAAGCATGGTTATCATATAGAAGCATGGTTGTCATATAGAACCATTGTTATCATATAGAAGCATGGTTATCATATAGAAGCATGGTTATCATATAGAAGCGTGGTAATTATATAGAAGCAAGATAATCATATAAAAGCATGACAATCATATAGAAGCATGGTTGTCACATAGAAGCATGGTTATCATATAGAAGCATGGTCGTCATATAGAAGCATGGTTATCATATAGAAGCGTGGTAATTATATAGAAGCATGATAATCATATAAAAGCATGATAATCATATAGAAGCATGCTTGTCATATAGAAGCATGGTTATCATATAGAAGCGTGGTAATCATATAGAAGCGTGGTAATTATATAGAAGCATGATAATCATATAAAAGCATGATAATCATATAGAAGCATGGTTATCATATAGAAGCATGGTTATCATATAGAAGCATGGTTATCATATAGAAGCAGGGTTATCATATAGAAGCATGGTCGTCATATAGAAGCATGGTTATCATATAGAAGCGTGGTAATTATATAGAAGCATGATAATCATATAAAAGCATGATAATCATATAGAAGCATGGTTATCATATAGAAGCGTGGTCGTCATATAGAAGCATGGTTATCATATAGAAGCATGGTCGTCATATAGAAGCATGGTTATCATATAGAAGCATGGTCGTCATATAGAAGCATGGTTATCATATAGAAGCGTGGTCGTCATATAGAAGCATGATAATCATATAGAAGCATGGTCGTCATATAGAAGCATGATAATCATATAGAAGCGTGGTAATCATAGAGAGGCATGTGCAGCAGGATGTTCAGTACTCACGCATGTTGAGTTTGACACTGGAGGTTGTGCTGACACGGTTATTCTTGATCGTTGACTCACGCCTGGAAGTAGTGGGAAGATGGGAGGTCACAGCACTGCGACGTTATTACAAGCACAAAGAACGTGAACAACAGCGCTATTTATACATAGTATATCTGCATCACTTTAACAACTAATACACCCATTTAAGTAGCTAATTCCAAGATACCATGCATTGTGTTTCAGGACTATTATGTGTGAATAGCATTGCTATACTCACGAGTTGACATTGTATCTCCGTGTGTTCGGCTTGTTCCGGTTCCTGGCCGCACATCGCTTCTTGGCCTGGATCCCGCCTACAACGGCCGCCGCCGTCAGAGCGCCACCTATAGCCACGGCTCCACAGATCAATCCCGCCATGGCTCCCGGGCTCAGCGAGGAGAAGCCATTGGAGCCTGAACCGGAATTTGCCGAGTTGGACAATAAGTTGAGGGCTCCATTGGCCCCACCTGCTATGTTGCCATTTGCATTAGCGTTACCGTTAGCGTTAGCATTGGCATTTGCGTTAGCATTTGCATTTGCATTAGGATCTGGTGTCTCGGTTGGTGGTGGTGGCAGGGTGGTTACAAGTACGTATTGCAGGTCCAGCTGGAGACATACAAGATGTGTTACCATGTTTCTTCTTCTTTTTTTCGTTTCTTTTTAAAAAACATTTTTATTTCAATTCAGTAGGCATAAATGTAACATTGGTACATGAGGTATATAAGTGATCAGATATGGGTATGTACATATATTGATTGACTGAGAAATTATAAAAAGTAGGCTGATAATTTCTTCCATTTTCTGTGGAATCTATAGATACTACTATTTTTCATCGCGATAATTATTTCGATTTTGCATACATCTTTCAATATGTTTATGAAGAAAGGAAAGCATAATGGGGTTTTCTTAATGCTTGACTGATGAATGTATTTCTTTTGCAAGAAGAAGTATATGGTGGAAAAGATGGTTGTTTTTGTTGTAGAAAAATAACTTATCAAGAATGGTAATATGAATATCATATGCAAGTTTCGAGTTTAGGTACATTTCAATTTCTAACTAAAATTATTTTATAAAAACGCATTCCACATACACATGGTATAATTTTGCAGATTCAGAGAGACACAAAAAGAGCATATATCATCATCAGTTAACTTCATTTTTAATAATTCCTTTTTGGTATAGAGAGCTCTATTTACGAATCTGTAATGGAAGTCTGTTTGATATGTTACGATGGTTACCGATAGAGACACGATCAATGCTACAATGGTTACCGACAGAGACACATTCAATGCTGCCATGCTTACAGAATGAGACTCAACCGATACTTCAATGTTTGCAGAGTGAGACGCACAAGCAATACTACCGTGATTGGCAGCTCGATTTGCACTGGGTCCGTGGTTACAGGTGAGGTACACATCAAGTAGAGGAGTACACATACAGGGGCGGCTATACTCCGCATTGTGTGACCATCACATTGGTGGGGGATCATTACATATAGTTTAAACAGATAATAAAACGTACCTTAGTTTCACTCTTCCTTTGAGGATTCCCATTGTCAATGACTTCAACGTCACACTTGAAGTTCTGCCCTCCAACAAACCCAGTAGCCATTGAGCTGGACAGTCGGACCTTGCAGTCGGCACCAACGGTGATATATCCGTCCAGGGCGGCATCGCACTGCTTGGCTCTACATGTGAACATCCCGTTCGTGAGCGCGTCCAGGTCGTCAGCTACCATGGCGATGATCTCCTTCCCTTCTAAATCTGTGTTAAACACTTGGCCAAAGTAACTTGGCATCTCGAATATGGGGTCGTTGTCGTTCACCTGGGCATTGAGCATTCATGTATAAGCCTACAAGCATATTACAGTATATCGGTGTGTTAACTCTTGATATAGGAAGGACTGGGATGAAATCACGCTGTTAGATTTATGTTTTGTATTACTTGATCATCACACTCGTTTCAATGTAAAATGTTTGGGACATAAAGTTGGAACATGTTATTAAACCAATGACGATGCAGCTACCTCCAACACTGTCACGGCGACGTCAAACTTGACCTTTTCTGTGGGAAGGTCGCCCTTATCTACGAACTCGACCTTCAGATCAATCAGTTCCTTGTCTGCCTTCTTGTCTCTCAGTTCAGGGTCCAGCTCGATCGCTGCCCTGAGACACAGAGTACAGTCGGCGCCACTGATGGTGAACGAGTCCTTGTACTTGGCCGGATCAGTGATCGTCCACTTCCACTTTTCAACGTCGCCGAAGTCTGGGTCGAAACCACCGCAGCCTAATTTGACACACTGGTTCACTTGGTCCTGAAATGCAGGTGTAAGATTACTGGTGCGGCATTACGCAATACTCACACACATTGAAAACATAAGAGCAGTGAAGACAAAAGCGTAGTGAAGACAAAATTGTAGTGAAGTCAAAATTGTAGTGAGGAGAAAATTGCAGTGAAGAGAAAAGTGTAGCGAAGACAACAGTGTAATTAAGATAAAAGTGTAGTGGAGACAAAAGCGTGGTGAAGATAAAAGTGTAGTTAAGATAAACGCGTGGTGAAGACAAAAGTGTAGTGAAGACAAAAGTAATCAGGACAAAAGTGTAGTGGAGACAGAAGTAAGGAAAACAAAAGCATGTTAAACACAAAAACATAGTGAAGTGTAGTGGAGACAAAAGTGTAGTGAAGATAAAAGCGTAGAGGAGACAAAAGCGTGGTGAAGATAAAAGTGTGGTGAAGATAAACATGCGGTGAAGACAAAAGTGTAGTGAAGACAAAACTTTTAAGGAAAAAAGTGTAGTCAAGACAGAAGTAAGGAAAACAAAAGTATAGTAAACACAAAAGCATAGTGAAGACAAAAGTGTAGTTAAGATAAAAGTGTAGTTAAGATAAAAGCGTAGTGGAGACAAAAGCGTGGTAGAGATAAAAGTGTAGTTAAGATAAACGCGTAGTGGAGACAAAAGCGTAGTGAAGATAAAAGTGTAGTTAAGATAAAAGCGTAGTGGAGACAAAAGCGTGGTGAAGATAAAAGTGTAGTTAAGATAAACACGTAGTGGAGACAAAAGCGTAGTGGAGACAAAAGTGTAGTGAAGATAAAAGTGTAGTGAAGTAAGAAGTAATGAAGACAAAAGTAAAGTAAACACAAAAGCACGTGAAGATAAAAGCGTGGTGGAGACAAAAGTATAGTTAAGATAAACACGTAGTGGAGACAAAAGCGTGGTTAAGATAAAAGTTTGGTTAAGATAAACGCATGGTGGAGACAAAAGTGAACTGAAGATAAACGCGTGGTAGAGACAAAAGGGTAATTAAGATAAACGCATAGTGAAGCCAAATGCGAGGTGAAGATAAACATGTGGTGGAGACAAAACGGTAGTTAAGATAAACGCGTACTGGAGACAAAAGTGTGGTGAAGATAAACACGTGGTGTAGTGAAGACAAAAGTAATAAGGACAAAAGGGTAGTGAAGACAGAAGTAATGAAGACAAAAGTATAGTAATCACAAAAGCATAGTGAAGACAAAAGTGTAGTTAAGATAAAATCGTAGTGGAGACAAAAGCGTGGTGAAGACAAAAGTAATAAGGACAAAAGTGTAGTGAAGACAAAAGGAATGAAGACAAAAGTATAGTAAACACAAAAGCATAGTGAAGACAAAAGTGTAGTTAAGATAAAATCGTAGTGGAGACAAAAGCGTGGTGAAAATAAAAGTGTGGTGACGATTGAAACGTGGTGGAGACAAAAGTGTAGTGAAGACAAAAGTAATAAGGACAAAAGTGTAGTGAAGACAGAAGTAATGAAGACAAAACTATAGTAAAGACAAAAGCGTAGTGAAGACAATATCGTGAAGAAAAACGTTTTGTGATGAGAAAGGTGCAGTGAAGACAAAGCTGAAATGAAGACAATATTGTAGTCAATACAATATTTAGTCTACTGACGACGAAGGTGTAGGGAGAAGGGCATAAAAGTGAAGACAAGCTCACCTCTTTAAACTCAGCCGAATATTTCAACCCGTTGACAATGCCCGGAGCCTCATTGACATCATCGATGTCCAAGTATGTGACGATGTCGTCAGACGTCCAACAGCCGTCATTGACGCTGACAAAAAATGTGTACTTGTTTAACGTCTCGTAGTCCAGCTCTCTGCCAGCACGTAGTTTGATTGAGACAACTGGAAGGAGATGGACATGTTGATCGTGGGGAATCCCCGTGCTGTGGAATGGTTCCTTATGTTGAGTACACGTGTACCTAACCGGATCTTTACCTTACAGTGCACATGAATAACATGATTGGAAAGAAATGAAGTTAAATGATTCAATCTGACTTAAAAACTTTGGATGCAACCATAGGATACAACTACTAGACTATTTTATTCATTGGTTCCACACAGGACCCGCTTCAAGTAGCTACTAAGTCGAATATTCTGTTATGAATGTGATTAACGGTCTTTCATTATTTGTAAGGATTTGTTTGTTGTTTTTCTGGGAGGTTAGCTGATACCGAATGAGCAACAGTCAATATTGTTACTACAGCTGAGTCAAAGGTTAGCCTTGTTACAACTACTGAGTCGAGGGTCAACACTTTCACTACTACTGAGTCGAGGGTCAACACTATTACTATTACTAAGTCAAAGGTGAACACCTTTACTACCACTGAGTCGAAGGTCAACACTGTCACTACTTCTAAGTCAAAGGTCAACACCTTTACTACTACTGAGTCGAAGGTCAACACTGTCACTACTACTGAGTCGAAGGTCAACGCTTTTACTACTACTGAGTCGAAGGTCAACACATTTACTACTACTGAGTCGAAGGTCAACACTGTCACTACTTCTAAGTCAAAAGGTCAACACCTTTACTACTACTGATTCGAAGGTCAACACTGTCACTACTACTGAGTCGAAGGTCAACGCTATTACTACTACTGAGTCGAAGGTCAACACATTTACTACTACTGAGTCGAAGGTCAACACTGTCACTACTTCTAAGTCAAAGGTCAACATATTAACTACTACTGAGTCGAAGGTCAACACTCTCACTACTACTGAGTCGAAGGTCAACGCTATTACTATTACTAAGTCAAAGGTCAACGCATCTACTACTACTGAGTCGAAGGTCAACACTGTCACTACTTCTAAGTCAAAGGTCAACACATTTACTACTACTGAGTCGAAGGTCAACACTGTCACTACTACTGAGTCGAAGGTCAACGCTATTACTACTACTGAGTCGAAGGTCAACACATTTACTACTACTGAGTCAAAGGTCAACACTGTCACTACTTCTAAGTCAAATGTCAACATATTAACTACTACTGAGCCGAAAGTCAACACTGTCACTACTACTGAGTCGAAGGTCAACGCTATTACTATTACTAAGTCAAAGGTCAACGCATCTACTACTACTGAGTCGAAGGTCAACACTGTCACTACTACTGAGTCGAAGGTCAACGCTATTACTACTACTGAGTCGAAGGTCAACACATTTACTACTACTGAGTCGAAGGTCAACACTGTCACTACTTCTAAGTCAAAGGTCAACACATTTACTACTACTGAGCCGAAGGTCAACACTGTCACTGCTACTGAGTCGAAGGTCAACGCTATTACTACTACTGAGTCGAAGGTCAACACATTTACTACTACTGAGTCGAAGGTCAACACTGCCACTACTACTGAGTCGAAGGTCAACACTATTACTACTACTGAGTCGAAGGTCAACACTGCTACCATTACTGAGTCGAAGGTCAACGCTATTACTATTACTAAGTCAAAGGTCAACACATTTACTACTACTGAGCCGAAGGTCAACACTGTCACTACTACTGAGTCGAAGGTCAACACTATTTCTACTACTGAGTCGAAGGTCAACACTGCTACCATTACTGAGTCGAAGGTCAACAGTGCTACAATTACTGAGTCGAAGGTCAAGGTCAACACTGTTACCACAATTAGGTCGAAGGGAAGTATTGTTTCAAATATTTGTGAGTATGGCGACACTGGAGTTCCTTAGATTGCAGCTTACCCTTGTCGGTCACCACAGCCTCAAAGTTGGCGGCCGCCTCTTCAGGGAGGGTTTTGATCGTGGTCGAATAGCCAGTCGCGTGGGTGTCTTCGTCAGTGATGGTCAGTTTGAATATCTCGACTCCGGGCGCTGCGTCCTCTTTGGCGAACACTTTGGTATTCGTCTGGGTCAGCACTGGCTTCTTGTTAACATCTACAAAAGTAAATATGCATTTCATTTGTAAATATGTCATGAGTAGACTTCCAATGAAGTCTGTGTATTTTGTTATAAACATATTTCTGGGGTACGTATAGAAGAACAGGCGACAGTACTGATGTGACTGTAACGTGTACGTCCCTTTAAGTACCACACGCCGGGCGACTCTCTTCCTGGTGACACCCGCACGCCGACACTCTCCCAGGTAACACACGCACGACGACACTCTCCCAGGTAACACACGCACGACGACTCTCTCCCAGGTAACACCCCCACGCCGACTCTCTCCCAGGTAGCACACGCACGACGACGCTCTCCCAGGTAACATACGCACGACGACACTCTCCCAGGTAACACACGCACGACGACACTCTCCCAGGTAGCACACGCACGACGACGCTCTCCTAGGCTACACACGCACGACGACTCTCTCCAAGGTAGCACACGCACGACGACACTCTCCCAGGTAGCACACGCACGACGACAGTCTCCTAGGCTACACACGCACGACGACTCTCTCCCAGGTAGCACACGCACGACGACACTCTCCTAGGCTACACACGCACGACGACACTCTCCCAGGTAGCACACGCACGACGACGCTCTCCCAGGTAGCACACGCACGACGACACTCTCCTAGGCTACACACGCACGACGACTCTCTCCCAGGTAGTACACGCACGCCGACACTCTCCCAGATAACACACGCACGACGACACTCTCCCAGGTAGCACACGCGCGACGACACTCTCCCAGGTAGCACACGCACGACGACTCTCTCCCAGGTAACACACGCACGACGACGCTCTCCCAGGTAACACACACACATGGTGACGCTCTCCCAGGTAACACACGCACGCCGACACTCTCCCAGGTAACACACGCACGCCGACACTCTCCCAGGTAACACACGCACGAAGACACTCTCCCAGGTAACATCCCCACGCCGACTCTCTCCCAGGTAACACACACATGCCGACACTCTCCCAGGTAACACACGCACGCCGACACTCTCCCATGTAACACACGCACGACGACGCTCTCCCAGGTAACACACACAGGACGACACTCTCCCAGGTTACACACGCACGCCGACACTCTCCCAGGTAACACACACACATGGTGACGCTCTCCCAGGTAACACACGCACGCCGACACTCTACCAGGTAACACACGCACGACGACGCTCTCCCAGGTAACATCCCCACGCCGACTCTCTCCCAGGTAACACACACATGCCGACACTCTCCCAGGTAACACACGCACGACGACCCTCTCCCAGGTAACATCCCCACGCCGACTCTCTCCCAGGTAACACCCCCACGCCGACTCTCTCCCAGGTAGCACACGCACGACGACGCTCTCCCAGGTAACATACGCACGACGACACTCTCCCAGGTAACACACGCACGACGACACTCTCCCAGGTAGCACACGCACGACGACGCTCTCCCAGGTAACATACGCACGACGACACTCTCCCAGGTAACACACGCACGACGACACTCTCCCAGGTAGCACACGCACGACGACACTCTCCCAGGTAGCACACGCACGACGACGCTCTCCTAGGCTACACACGCACGACGACTCTCTCCAAGGTAGCACACGCACGACGACACTCTCCCAGGTAGCACACGCACGACGACACTCTCCCAGGTAGCACACGCACGACGACACTCTCCCAGGTAGCACACGCACGACGACACTCTCCTAGGCTACACACGCACGACGACTCTCTCCCAGGTAGCACACGCACGCCGACACTCTCCCAGGTAACAGACGCACGCCGACTCTCTCCCAGGTAACACACGCACGACGACGCTCTCCCAGGTAACACACGCACATGGTGACGCTCTCCCAGGTAACACACGCACGCCGACACTCTCCCAGGTAACACACGCACGCCGACACTCTCCCAGGTAACACACGCACGAAGACACTCTCCTAGGCTATACACACGCACGACAACACTCTCCCAGGTAACACACGCACGAAGACACTCTCCCAGGTAACATCCCCACGCCGACTCTCTCCCAGGTAACACACACATGCCGACACTCTCCCAGGTAACACACGCACGCCGACACTCTCCCATGTAACACACGCACGACGACGCTCTCCCAGGTAACACACACAGGACGATACTCTCCCAGGTTACACACGCACGCCGACACTCTCCCAGGTAACACACACACATGGTGACGCTCTCCCAGGTAACACACGCACGCCGACGCTCTACCAGGTAACACATGCACGACGACGCTCTCCCAGGTAACATCCCCACGCCGACTCTCTCCCAGGTAACACACACATGCCGACACTCACCCAGGTAACACACGCACGACGACCCTCTCCCAGGTAACATCCCCACGCCGACTCTCTCCCAGGTAACACACACATGCCGACACTCTCCCAGGTAACACACGCACGACGACACTCTCCCAGGTAGCACACGCACGACGACACTCTCCTAGGCGACACACGCACGACGACACTCTCCCAGGTAGCACACGCACGACGACACTCTCCCAGGTAACACATGAACGGCAATATTCCAAGGTAACACACGCACGGCAACATTCCCAGGTAACACACGAACGGCAACATTCCCAGGTAACACACGAACGGCAACATTCCGAGGTAACACACGAACGGCAACATTCCCAGGTAACACACGAACGGCAACATTCCCAGGTAACACACGAACGGCAATATTCCAAGGTAACACACGCACGGCAACATTCCCAGGTAACACACGAACGGCAACATTCCCAGGTACACGAACAGCAACATTCCCAGGTAACACACGAACAGCAACATTCCCAGGTAACACAGACCCGGCAACACTCTCCCAGGTAATAAACACACATGATGACGCTCTCCCACGTAACACACACCTGGTGACGCTCTCCCAGGTAACACACGAACGGCAACGCCCTGTCAGGTAACACACGCACGGCAACATTCCCGCGTAATACACGCACGACGACCCTCACACAGATAACACACGACCAATTACCCCTTGCCAGGTGACATACATCCGACTACATCGTCCAGGTACTTACTGTTTATGGTGATGGAAACTTTGCACACGGCCGTATTCTCAAAAGGGTCACTCAGTGTTGCCGTGATCTCTACGAAATCAGCCTTCTGGTTTTTCAGATCTGCACTAGCCGTCAGTTCCCCGGTGTCTGCAAGGGAATTGTGGAGTTATTGTAGAGAAATACAAAGGTGGAAGGCTCACGCGGATGACGGTGTCGCGTTGGTATGTGATGCTGTTAGCATTGGATGTTGCTAGTAAGTGGCGCTGTTAGCATCGGCGGCTGTGAGCAAGTGATGTTGTTAGCATTGCATGTTGGTAGTGAGTGACGCTGTTAGCTTTGCATGTTGGTAGCGAGTGACGCTGTTAGAATTGCATGTTGGAAGTGAGTGACGCTGTTAGCATTGCATGTTGGTAATGAGTGACATTGTTGGCATTGAATGCTGGTAGTGAGTGACGCTGTTAGCATTGCATGTTGGTAGTTTGTGACGCTGTTAGCATTGAATGTTGCTAGTTAGTAAGTGACTCCGTGAGCATTTAAGGATGTTATTGAGTGACGCTGTTACCATTGGATGTTTTTAGTAAGAGACGCTGTTTGTTGGTGAACCTGTTATTTCTAACCCTGTTAGCATGAGATAAGAGGAAAACACAAGTGGATTGTCTATACGAAAGGAATCACTGCAGGTGGAAGAAGGAGCAGGTGTAAGCAGGAGCTGGGAGAAGGAGGAGCTGGGAGAAGGAGGAGCTGGGAGAAGGAGGAGCAGGTGTGGGGAGGTGCTAGGAGAAGGAGGAGCAGGTTTGGGGAGGTGCTGGGAGAAGGAGGAGCAGGTGTGGGGAGGTGCTGGGGGAAGGAGGAGCAGGTGTGGGGAGGTGCTAGGAGAAGGAGGAGCAGGTGTGGGGAGGAGCTGGGGGAAGGAGGAGCAGGTGGAAGGAGGAGCTGGGAGAAGGAGGAGCAGGTGTGGGGAGGTGCTGGGAGAAAGGGGAGCAGGTGTGGCGAGGTGCTGGGAGAAGGAGGAGCAGGTGTGGGGAGGTGCTAGGAGAAGGAGGAGCAGGTTTGGGGAGGAGCTGGGAGAAGGAGGAGCAGGTGTGGGGATGTCTGGAGAAGGAGGAGCAGGTGTAAGGAGGAGCTGGGAGAAGGAGGAGCAGGTGTGGGGAGGTGCTGGGAGAAAGGGGAGCAGGTGTGGCGAGGTGCTGGGAGAAGGAGGAGCAGGTGTGGGGAGGTGCTAGGAGAAGGAGGAGCAGGTTTGGGGAGGTGCTGGGAGAAGGAGGAGCAGGTGTGGGGAGGTGCTAGGAGAAGGAGCAGCAGGTGTGGGGAGGTGCTGGGGGAAGGAGGAGCAGGTGTAAGGAGGAACTGAGAAGAGGAACAGGTTTGGGGAGGAGCTGGGAAAAGAAGGAGCAGGTGTGGGGAGGAGCTGGGAGAAGGAGGAGCAGGTGTGGGGAGGTGCTAGGAGAAGGAGGAGCAGGTGTGGGGAGGTGCTGGGGGAAGGAGGAGCAGGTGTAAGGAGGAACTGAGAAGAGGAACAGGTTTGGGGAGGAGCTGGGAGAAGGAGGAGCAGGTGTGGGGAGGAGCTGGGAGAAGGAGGAGCAGGTGTGGGGAGGTGCAGGGAGAAGGAGGAGCAGGTGTAAGGAGGAGCTGGGAGAAGGAGGAGCAGGTGTGGGGAGGTGCTGGGGGAAGGAGGAGCAGGTGTGGGGAGGAGCTGGGAAAAGGAGGAGCAGGTGTGGGGAGGTGCTGGGAGAAGGAGGAGCAGGTGTAAGGAGGAGCTGGGAGAAGGAGGAGCAGGTGTGGGGAGGAGCTGGGAGAAGGAGGAGCAGGTGTGGGGAGGTGCTGGGAGAAGGAGGAGCAGGTGTAAGGAGGAGCTGGGAGAAGGAGGAGCAGGTGTGGGGAGGTGCTGGGAGAAAGGGGAGCAGGTGTGGGGAGGTGTTGGGGGAAGGAGGAGCAGGTGTGGGGAGGAGCTGGGAGAAGGAGGAACAGGTGTGGGAAGGAGCTGGGAGAAGGAGGAGCAGGTGTGGGGAGCTGCTGGGAGAAGGAGGAGCAGGTGTGGGAAGGTGCTGGGAGAAGGAGGAGCAGGTGTGGGGACGTGCTGGGAGAAGGAGGAGCAGGCGTAAGGAGGAACTGAGAAGAGGAACAGGTTTGGGGAGGAGCTGGGAGAAGAAGGAGCAGGTGTGGGGAGGAGCTGGGAGAAGGAGGAGCAGGTGTGGGGAGCTGCTGGGAGAAGGAGGAGCAGGTGTGGGAAGGTGCTGGGAGAAGGAGGAGCAGGTGTGGGGACGTGCTGGGAGAAGGAGGAGCAGGTGTAAGGAGGAACTGAGAAGAGGAACAGGTTTGGGGAGGAGCTGGGAGAAGAAGGAGCAGGTGTGGGGAGGAGCTGGGAGAAGGAGGAGCAGGTGTGGGGAGGTGCTGGGAGAAGGAGGAGCAGGTGTAAGGAGGAGCTGGGAGAAGGAGGAGCAGGTGTAAGGAGGAACTGAGAGGAGGAACAGGTTTGGGGAGGAGCTGGGAGAAGGAGGAGCAGGTGTAAGGAGGTTCTGGGAGAAGGAGGAGCAGGTGTAAGGAGGTTCTGGGAGTAGGAGGAGCAGGTGTAAGGAGGTTCTGGGAGAAGGAGGAGCAGGTAGGGGAGGTGCTAGGAGAAGGAGGAGCAGGTGTGGAGAGGAGCTGGGAGAAGGAGGAGCAGGTGTAAGGAGGTTCTGGGAGAAGGAGGAGCAGGTGTAAGGAGGTTCTGGGAGAAGGAGGAGCAGGTGTGGGGAGGTGCTAGGAGAAGGAGGAGCAGGTGTGGGGAGGTGTTAGGAGAAGGAGGAGCAGGTGTGGGGAGGTTCTGGGAGAAGGAGGAGCAGGTGTGGGGAGGTGCTGGGAGAAGGAGGAGCAGGTGTGGGGAGGTGCTAGGAGAAGGAGGAGCAGGTGTGGGGAGGTGTTAGGAGAAGGAGGAGCAGGTGTGGGGAGGTTCTGGGAGAAGGAGGAGCAGGTGTGGGGAGGTGCTGGGAGAAGGAGGAGCAGGTGTGAGGAGCTGGGAGAAGGAGGAGCAGGTGTAAGGAGGAACTGAGAGGAGGAACAGGTTTGGGGAGCAGCTGGGAGAAGAAGGAGCAGGTGTGGGGAGGAGCTGGGAGAAGGAGGAGCAGGTGTGAGGAGCTGGGAGAAGGAGGAGCAGGTGTAAGGAGGAACTGAGAGGAGGAACAGGTTTGGGGAGGAGCTGGGAGAAGAAGGAGCAGGTGTGGGGAGGTGCTGGAGAAGGAGGAGCAGGTGAAAGGAGGAGCTGGGAGAAGGAGGAGCAGGTGTGGAGAGGTGCTGGGAGAAAGGGGAGCAGGTGTGGCGAGGTGCTGGGAGAAGGAGGAGCAGGTGTGGGGAGGTGCTAGGAGAAGGAGGAGCAGGTTTGGGGAGGTGCTGGGAGAAGGAGGAGCAGGTGTGGGCAGGTGCTAGGAGAAGGAGGAGCAGGTGTGGGGAGGTGCTGGGGGAAGGAGGAGCAGGTGTGGGGAGGTGCTGGGAGAAGGAAGAGCAGGTGTGGGGAGGTGCTAGGAGAAGGAGGAGCAGGTTTGGGGAGGTGCTGGGAGAAGGAGTAGCAGGTGTGGGGAGGTGCTGGGGGAAGGAGGAGCAGGTGTGGGGAGGAGCTAGGAGAAGGAGGAGCAGGTGTGGGGAGGTGCTGGGAGAAGGAGTAGCAGGTGTGGGGAGGTGCTGGGGGAAGGAGGAGCAGGTGTGGGGAGGAGCTAGGAGAAGGAGTAGCAGGTGTGGGGAGGTGCTGGGGGAAGGAGGAGCAGGTGTGGGGAGGAGCTAGGAGAAGGAGGAGCAGGTGTGGGGAGGTGCTGGGAGAAGGAGGAGCAGGTGTAAGGAGGAGCTGGGAGAAGGAGGAGCAGGTGTGGGGAGGAGCTGGGAGAAGGAGGAGCAGGTGTGGGGAGGTGCAGGGAGAAGGAGGAGCAGGTGTAAGGAGGAGCTCGGAGAAGGAGGAGCAGGTGTGGGGAGGTGCTGGGGGAAGGAGGAGCAGGTGTGGGGAGGAGCTGGGAAAAGGAGGAGCAGGTGTGGGGAGGTGCTGGGAGAAGGAGGAGCAGGTGTAAGGAGGAGCTGGGAGAAGGAGGAGCAGGTGTGGGGAGGAGCTGGGAGAAGGAGGAGCAGGTGTGGGGAGGTGCTGGGAGAAGGAGGAGCAGGTGTAAGAAGGAGCTGGGAGAAGGAGGAGCAGGTGTGGGGAGGTGCTGGGAGAAAGGGGAGCAGGTGTGGGGAGGTGTTGGGGGAAGGAGGAGCAGGTGTGGGGAGGAGCTGGGAGAAGGAGGAACAGGTGTGGGAAGGAGCTGGGAGAAGGAGGAGCAGGTGTGGGGAGCTGCTGGGAGAAGGAGGAGCAGGTGTGGGAAGGTGCTGGGAGAAGGAGGAGCAGGTGTGGGGACGTGCTGGGAGAAGGAGGAGCAGGTGTAAGGAGGAACTGAGAAGAGGAACAGGTTTGGGGAGGAGCTGGGAGAAGAAGGAGCAGGTGTGGGGAGGAGCTGGGAGAAGGAGGAACAGGTGTGGGAAGGAGCTGGGAGAAGGAGGAGCAGGTGTGGGGAGCTGCTGGGAGAAGGAGGAGCAGGTGTGGGAAGGTGCTGGGAGAAGGAGGAGCAGGTGTGGGGACGTGCTGGGAGAAGGAGGAGCAGGTGTAAGGAGGAACTGAGAAGAGGAACAGGTTTGGGGAGGAGCTGGGAGAAGAAGGAGCAGGTGTGGGGAGGAGCTGGGAGAAGGAGGAGCAGGTGTGGGGAGGTGCTGGGAGAAGGAGGAGCAGGTGTAAGGAGGAGCTGGGAGAAGGAGGAGCAGGTTTGGGGAGGAACTGAGAGGAGGAACAGGTTTGGGGAGGAGCTGGGAGAAGGAGGTGCAGGTGTAAGGAGGTTCTGGGAGAAGGAGGAGCAGGTGTAAGGAGGTTCTGGGAGAAGGAGGAGCAGTTGTAAGGAGGTTCTGGGAGAAGGAGGAGCAGGTGTGGGGAGGTGCTAGGAGAAGGAGGAGCAGGTGTGGAGAGGAGCTGGGAGAAGGAGGAGCAGGTGTAAGGAGGTTCTGGGAGAAGGAGGAGCAGGTGTAAGGAGGTTCTGGGAGAAGGAGGAGCAGGTGTGGGGAGGTTCTGGGAGAAGGAGGAGCAGGTGTGGGGAGGTGCTAGGAGAAGGAGGAGCAGGTGTGGGGAGGTGTTAGGAGAAGGAGGAGCAGGTGTGGGGAGG